TGAGTCATAATCAGGGAGATTCTTTGCCTCAATAATACAGTTAGGGCCAAAATCTAATCGAATACTAAATCCTTTCTTTGCCTGAAACCGTTCAGCAAGACCCAATTGATGTTTTAATGCCAAAGAATAACATATATTCTTCCTCGATCGCATAACATTAGCACTTTCTTTTAGTTGTTTGTGTTTAGCTTCAAAACGGAGGGTTGATAATGGATAGACCGGTCCATTTCGAAGAAGGAGCCGAGGATAATGAAGAAGGAAATGAAATTTTGGCTTCAAGTGTTCCTTAAATAGCTTTCGATAGAAACAATGATGCTTTGTTATTAATATTCGTAGCGATTCCAGGTTTTCAATTGTTATTTTTGGATTTAAAAGAATGCAATGAACTTCTCTCAATAAAATGTATAATTTCCACGTTGTATTTCCACGGTGATTTAGTACCACGTGTCCTCTGGTACTAAATCACCGATTATAAAACTCAAAGTCTCAAGCAAAAGTTTCATTTCCGAAGCTGAGCAATTAAAATTCGTTTTTTTCAAAGCCGATTCAGTAAAAGTGGGGATGTGCTTTGATCTTTTCTGATTTCCATAATCAAAGAATTTGATTCGGTAATTTAGATGATCTAAAGTGAATCGTTTTTGTACGTAAATCAAGAGTCCTTCTACAGAGTCCTTCTAAAGAGTCATGCATAACATCGCAATAGAAATTAGAGGCAATATGATACGTGAGAAGATTATGAAAAATGCTGTCCTGCTTTAGTCCATGAGAAAAATTTTGTAAATCTTCGGTAAAATTTTTTTTTGTCCTTAAAAATTTTTCATCTTCAGCTACTGCGGTTTGTAATATGCTTTTATCTGCTCGACATATGTGACAATAATGATTGGAACTGAAACTTTCGTGAAACCCGAACAGTGTATGTATACCTATAGATTATCGCTTGCAAACAAAGATACTACGAAATAAACTTGACGAATACCCATGCTTGTTTCAACACTAATACCCTTCCTCTCCAAATCCACGAGTTGTTTATGAAGAGCCGCAAAGACGTTATAATTTCCGAAAGTTTTTAAATCATTTGAGGTATGTAACTGAATCAAAAAAATATTCTCCAACATCGAATTATACTCAGGAGGAATCCCTAAAATTTTACAATATACTGCACCGATTTTGTTCACTCCTTTATGAGAACCGAGTGGATTATTCACTTCAAAATCATCAAAGAACATCAATAATGGCAGGATGAATTTCCCGTCGAATTTCGCGCGTGTTTCTTTCCATAACTGACCATTCAAGAAAGATGTTACATCCTCGGCATTTGAACAATCTGCCATGTAAGCTTCTAAAATAGAAAAAACATCCGGCAATTCTAAAAATTTCTTCAAGAGAGTTCCTACAGGAATTAACTGGCCAGTTACATTTTTTAAATCTAACGATGTACTTCCATTGATGGAACCTGGCTTTATACTTGTACCTATAGAAAATGCTTCGGGCCGCACGAGATGTCCTGATGATAATTGATTAGGAGAATTTAATTACAAACTCCGTGCGAATTCGAAGGCTCGTGTTCAAGGATTTTTTTATTTATAGAAAAATGATTATTTATTTTGTTCTGAGTAATTTACGCACTTTATAAATCATTTTATTTAGATTTTCCTGATTGTTACCGAATTTTTAAGAATCACGCATCCAGATTAGTTATGTAATAATAAGTGTTTTGGTAAACAAAAACATCATTTGACTGGGATGTTGATATCTGAGGGTGAGCATTCAAAAAACTTTCATGGTTAGATTGTACCCACAAATCAGTGGATCAACTACATTAAGGTGGGTACCTCTAAAACCTCAATGTCCGAAACATCATTTTTTTTTTACTGAAACGTCCATCATATTCTGAAGAAACAGCCAAATAATATACCTCATCGAACCCACCCATGGAGTTGAAGGTGTGTACTTCAACCAACTCCGGTTGCTTCGACCCAACCGCTGTATTGTTGCCTAGAGCGTATATTCGGTCGAAGGCTCAACGCATTTTGGGAGTTGGCTAGAGGTAACTAGAAGCGGTCAACTACCCGAATACCGGCCGATATGAATGACTTACGGTCCCTAAAGCTCAATTTTCTTCAACTCACTTTTAGGAGTTGGCTGCGCCATACCTTTTTCTCAGTGTACTGCGTATCTCGATAAATAGATTTTGATCTTTCTATATAACTTGTTCTGCTGAGGTTGTTTCCATAGTTTTTTTACCTTGTTTTCTATTGAGAAAAGAAAAAAAGGTGGTAAAACCAATTTGAACAAGTTATGAAGAGAAATTGTTATAGAAAATATTTTCGATTGAACGATTCAATTTGATTCAAAAACATCTTATGTTTAAAACATTAAACTCAGCGAATTCTTCCAACCAAAAAACCTAGCGCGTCTGCTAGAACAATTTATCAAATTTCTATTGGAAATGTTATGAGTTTTCATCCATTCTTTTAAATATAAATTTTGAATAGAAAATAATTTCCAGAAAAAATGAATAAACTTTGATATTTTTATACATCTCAGTCGCTTCAAATTATTCTTATAGAAATTCCTGAACGCAAACCTCAAGTTTTTTCGTAGATGAAAAAAAAGAGTAGCAAAGAATGCAGTCTAAAACACAATTTCATTGAAAAACCTAGCACATCCGCTCAGAAATTCTAAAATATTTTATTGAAAGGTCCAATAGAATTTCTATACGGCTTATTCTTCTGAAACTGATTTCAACAGGAATTTCTCGTCTTAAAGTGTATCCCAAGACAATATGGTTAAATCGTAATAATGGGAAGGGGCGAGAAAATCATAGGGGTGACATTGTGAGGGTCAAATGGTAAGGGTGGAATCTTGAGGGTATATTTTCAAGGGTGTAATCGTAAAAATAAAATGGTCAAGGTGGCATTGTAGATATTGAAGTCACATGTTATTCGCTAATTATTGCAGAGAAAAGAAGAATCGTCGTTCGAAATTAATCGTCATTATTAGAATCATCATTATGGTTATTCATTATTGAATTGACTTACCGATTAAACTATAGTTGAACCACTTAATATCTCTATGAACTGAATAGTAAAACGTTCAAGTTGAAAAAAACCGAGGTGGAATTAATATAGGCGATTTGAAGTAGAGATTTTACGAATTGCGCGGTAGGCTAGTGGTTAGGGCGTCGGGTTAGTACTCGTGAGGTCGTGGGTTCGTGCCCAAATTGGGGTAATATTTTATGTTAACAAAATCGGTTTTCCAGCGATCATTGCATTAGGGGTTCGTAGGTAGGGCACAATTAATACTAAAAATGATTCTAGAAAGTGCGGATTATTTCGTTCTTATTATTATTGATAATTGTCATGAATAGTTTGGCAGCCAGTCCGGCGCCAGTCGCTTGTCGGTACTGATTTTTGTTTCCTCCTTGAACCTGTCACGAATGATCAAGAGTATAATACTGAATTACTTGTATTTCAATCACTCATATCATATTCATGTAATTAAGTTATGTTTAATTGAGTCTGGGCAACGACTGGCAACCAACGCTGGGCCGAGATCGGCGTCCAGACCTGGCCCCATGTTATCATCTCAGGTTTCAACCAAGTCCGGTGTGGTCTCGGCTGAGTAACGGGCTCCCAAGTTCGGCACTCCGGCCGCCGGGCTTGGACCGAGCTCGGCCCGTTCGTTCCTACCTGGGAAGATGGAAAAATCAAGTTCGGGAAGACCCATAACCCTCGTTTGGCCTATGCATCGCGTGCTAGAAACCGACATTTCATTATTTGTCATCTCCTAAGATGTGTAGAACAGCTATAATAGTTGGAATTTTTTTCAATTGCTGGGGAATATCATAAACTTCATCCATGAAAAACTTGGGGATAATCGTAAGAAAAACCGGTTTTCTAGGGACATATACCTTAAATCCCATCTTTTTTACGTGAATTCTCTAATGAGAGTACACGGAGAGAAATGTTCAGTAAAAATTACGGAACTCACAATTCGCTCAACAATTACGGAATCGATTCAGAAAATTTAAGTGACGATATCGTAATTTTTCACAGGAGATTCAGATAAAAATTCCGGAACGCTCTAGAAAAATTCCGTGACAGTTCCGTAAAAGTTCCTACAACTACATTTCGCTCCGGAATTACGGAAAAGATACGTAATTTTTATTGAATATTTCTCTCTGTGTAGAAGAAATGAAGCAGTAAAAAACACGTGAAAATTTGAATGTCCTGCCGTGAAATTTCTCCAGAACATATTTCAATCGAACAAATTGCATAAAAAATCCAAATCCATTGGTTTTTTGTCTCAAAGCTTTTTAGTTAACCATTTATAATTCGAACAAACTCCCAAAAAAGTCACATTTTCCCACAAAATTGTTCCGTCTGCGAAGTCAACAGTGAAATAGTATGGTTCATCATTAGACTGATAAAAACTTTTCTGGCGAATATGAGTTTGCAGCTCGAGCCGAAGGTGAGGGTTCCAGTCATATGAGCGAAAAAAGGTTTTTTAGGCCGTATGTCGAATGATATTTTTTGTCATAACGAGCGTAGGCAGCAAAGCTCCGGTATGTATGACGAAAATCCAATTTATTCTGAATTCCGTAAAATTTTATTCAAATTCAAGTATTCGAGAGCATGAATGACATTCCCTCACACCTCGAATTATTTAATTCACTCTCGCAGAAACAGTAGCTTTACAACATATACATAAGTGTATAACTCTTCCAAGAATCTCTTCCACACCAAGTCGTAAATCGTAGTAAAACCATATATATATATATATATATATATATATATATATATATATATATATATATATATATATATATATATATATATATNATATATATATATATATATATATATATATATATATATATTTATGAAACTACTGTGTCAGACATAACAGGCATTGCGAGGATCTGGAGCACAAACCGATGATTCACTATTCAAAGTCAGTGTACTGTTTGTTGTTTATTTACATTACAACTTTTGCAGGCACTGTTGGAAAAATTATTCACACTATTCGATCAAGACAGCGATGGCATTCTCAGGCAAGACGATTGGATTGAATTCCTTAAAGCCAGGCTCACGTAAGTATTACACTCAACCCACTATCTTTTGTTCTCCCAATTCATTCGCACTGTACTCTCCATTTATTTTTATTTTCCCCCCTTTCAATTTTCATCTCATTTCTCCGGTTCTTCCTCACCTTTTCTTCAACCACTCCATCAACAGATTTATCGTTGTCACGTACGTACGTGCTACACCGCGACACTTTCGAAATACATCCGATTTATTTTGTATTCGTAATTCTTATCCCCATCTATAATCCTTTATTTTTATTTTACTCTGGTTCACACTGTCGCATCCCCAGGAATGACAAACAGACGGACTTCATTGATCAGATCGAGAGCGTAGCGTATGTACTATGTGGAGAGGAGCCAGTCAATGTGAATGCCTTCAAGGGAATATTTCTGGCAAAAGGAGTGAGTGGCTTTCTTGATTTTTTAATTGCTCTTTTTGTGGCTTAATTATCACAGCTTCCGTTAACCCATTTTCTATATGTTAGCGTTCGATCTTTATAATTAAAATTTTAATTCATCTCACTGAATGTCCAGGTCATTGATAAATTATTCAGACTGCTGGAGCACGAGAATTTCGGCTCCATTTTGCCCAGCCAAATAATGGAGTTCATCGCTGGCGTAAGTAATCCAAGGTAATAGAATATTTATGAACATCTCTCACTATACACTTCTCAATTCTACAATAACATTTTACTACTTTACATCCATTATCTTGTGTTTCATTTTTCATGTATTTCACGCGGAATGAAAAAAAAAATAGATCACAAGTTGGATTCGATAAAGGCAATCTGGAATGGCTGGAGAAGATCTTCAAGCAGACAGTTGGAAACGAGCAGGAAATACGTCGCGAGGAGTTCAAGAAAATCGTTATATCGAAAAACGTGAGGCAGTAAATTCTTGGTTATCTCTAGTGCTTTACTTCATGAGAGTAGAGATAAAAAAACGATTGAAAAAAAAGACATATGCAACAATCTTTGAATAAAGCCATCTCCCTGACTCTCCCCCCCCCCCCCCCCCCCC